TTATGGTCTCTGTTTCTATTGAACCTGAAAACCCTTTAAATAGGGAATGATACAACATAATAAAAGGAAACAATATATACACCAAATCAATCACAATAAATAATAATCACAGAAAATCAGCCAAGTATCTCGGCTGATTATATGCATTGCTAAGATCAACATGTGTCAGAGAAAATATGCACTAGACATTCTCACTGACACAGGTTTTTTAGGCTGCAAACCAGCAGCCACTCCCATGGATCCCACTGTAAAACTAACTGCCTGTACTGAGAATGATGAATTAACAGAACCTACAGCATATAGGAAGCTCATTGGCAGGTTGTTATATTTAACCATATCAAGGCCTGACATTGCATTTAGCATTCAGACCCTCAGTCAATTCCTCTCCAAGCCTACAGTCCACCACCTCAATGAGCATACAGAGTTCTGAGATATTTGAAAGGTACAGCAGGTAAGGAACTTCTTTTTTCCAGCAATTCTTCTCTTCAGCTGCATGCTTTTTCAGATAGTGATTGGGCCTCTTGTCTTACCACAAGAAAGAGTGTCACTGGTTTTTCTATATTTCTAGGTCAATCACTTATTTCCTAGAAATCTAAAAAGCAAGCAATTATAAGTAAATCCTCAGCTGAGGCAGAATATAGAGCTTTAGCCTCTACATCTTGTGAAATCCAATGGATTTTATATCTTCTTAATGATCTTAACATCTCACACACTGCACATGTTTCCTTATTTTGTGATAACAAATCTGCTATTGCCATGGCTACTAACCCTGTTTTTCATGAAAGAACAAAACATATAGAAATTGATTGTCACCTAGTCAGGGAAAAGGTCAGCAAAGGGATGATCAAACTTCAATATGTGGACACCAAAGAGCAAGCTGCAGATATACTTACCAAACCATTAGCAGGCCGTGCCTTTCAATACCTTTCTTCCAAGCTTAACATGCATAATATACATGTTAAGCTTGCGGGGGCATTAACATTATGTATTGTTATTCTTTAGTATTTTGTGTTAAAGTTGCTATCTCTAAAATAGCAACTATAGGCAAATGTAATTTAGTATCTTGTGTTAAAGTTGCTATAGCAACTATAGGCAAATGTAATTTACTTCTTTGTCCTTGAGCAAACCCTAAATATAAAAGGGTTGCTTAGTCTCTCTCTCTCCCTCACTTTTCACTTTTCTGTTTTCTCTCCGCAGTCGAACTCTCGTTTGTCTCTCTTGTACAATCGTTCATCTTCAATGCAAATCTTTCCATTTGTTGTTTAATTTTCAGTTTAATAGAGATGAATATTGGTTAAGGATTCTAATCTTATAATTTCATAAATATGCAAAAGTATACCTTATCAGTAGTTTTATTCACTTCTATTATAACAATAAATCAATTTTTACAAAGTAAAATTCTTGGGAACATGTGATTTACAGTGCTGAAATTGAAAATGGTCAAAAAACAATGTAAACTACCTGAACTCGTTTGTTGCGGGCATACTGTTCAACCCCGTCAAATTTGTTATCGTTAAACTGTATGTAAAGACAAAATATTGGTTACCAAGCACAAGAAACAATTTTGCTTTCAAAAGAAGCCAATACATAAATAAATACCTGTAGATCTTCTATTAACGGAGATGTATACATTCCACCTGATGAAACTGTAATAACACGAGCATCAGGCACAGCCTTCTCCAGCAGCGGCAACATGAGCTGTGTCAAAGTGTACGTGCCCAAAACATTTACAGCAAAATTCATCTCAAATCTAGCAGCACCCAGGAAATAAAAAAAAAATAAAAATTAATTATCGAATCAATATATTAACGAGATTAAAGTTGAAAACAGCACATAAAAGAACACTAAATACCCTTCGGAGGTGATTAAACGTTTATTCTCGAGCAGACCAGCATTGTTTACCTGAAAATGCATCAAAGATATGCTAAACTTACTATGATTCGGCATACCCCCTCAACAGCCGTTCATATATTTTAGAGGTGTATTTTCAAGGTCATCACAGAGCTTCAAGAGTGTTTGTAGCAATTTGAGGTGGGTGTTTGAAATTTTAAAAGATAATTGGAGTTTTTGGTAGTAAGGCTAAAACTCGGGGTGATCTTTGTAATTAATTCATAAGGTAAACCACCAGCATGGGTTGGTTATTATTCTTCAAAAGTTTTATAGAGTTCATATGCATTAAGAAAAAGAAATATATATATACATATTATAATATGTATATATAGTTGATAAAAAAATCAAAGAAAAAAAAAATACCAGGACATGAATAGGCACATCTCTTGAAGAAAATCTAGAAGCAAAAGACTTGACATCACTTATGGAAGAAATATCACAGACCTATCACCAGACAAAGAAAAGTTATTAGTAGTTCACATATAAAAATTGGTATACAGTAACTCCAAGACTTTAACCTCCAGGAAAACATTTTTATTTCCTGTTGCTGATTGAATCTCTGAAAGTGCAGCCTCTCCTCTCTCCTTATTTCGACACACCATGTATACAGTAGCTCCACTGAATAGTAAACATAAATACCAAGAGACCAACATAAAGAAAGTAAAAATCAAACACAAGTTCCATCGATTATGGAAAACAGGTGAATGATATAGAAAATTTCAAAAAGGTAAAAAAATGTTCACCGTGAGGCAAGCCCTTCTGCCGTTGCATAGCCAATGCCGGAATTTGCTCCTGTGACAACACAATTCTTTCCTTCAATTTGCATTTGCATATCTTCTGGGTTAAAATTTTTCGAATGCTCCCTAAGTTAGAAAGATAATCATAATTAGTACACGATCAAGGGGAAAATTCTGACCTACCTAGCATACACTGAATCTACCTAGAAAAATTCAAGAATACCAACTTTGTGATAAACAACAGCGAGAACCCCGTTTAGGCACAGAATTTTCACGTCCTGGTCGCTCATTATGGCTCGGAGGTTCATTTCGTGGTAAAAGACAGTGACGTAGTGGGGTCCCAGATCACAGGGGCCGTTGGAATCCCGGTCGAGCAGATTATTTCAGGCTCGAAAATCGAGGGCACGTACCCGATTCTTGGCCTGAATGGCAAACCGTGCAATAAAGGAGCCGTTTTGAGCCACTCGATTCGGTGCATACTTATGAATAGTACTCCTCTCTATCACGGTGGGTTAGGGGGAGTACCCGGGATTTACTTTCCTATGCGGAAGGGCAAAAATTAACGCTATATCAAGATGTGCATATTTACGATGGTTTGCTTCCGAATAATTTGTAATTAGCTAATGGGTGAACGTATCAGCATGGAAAATGCTGGCGTGATATTTACGATGCGATTAGTGAGGCTCGGAAGTTGGTTTATATCACAGGTTGGCCGGTTTATCACTAGGTTCAGCTGGTGAGAGATGACCCGAGCATGGGGGAGAGTAGGTTTGGGGAGCTTTTGAAGGTGAAGTCTCAAGAGGGTGTTCGTGTGGTGCTTCTCGTGTGGGATGAGCCAACTTCTAGGAGTATATTGGGATTAAAAACCGAAGGTGTAATGAATAAAGGTGATGAGGAAACACGCCGATTTTTCAAACATTCATCTGTGCAGGTGTTTGTGTCCACCTCTGCTGGAAAAGGCAGCTGGGTCAAGAAGCAGGAAACTGGAACAATCAATACTCATCATCAGAAAAGCGTGATAATAGATGCAGATGCCCGAAATTTTAGGAGAAAGATTGTTGCGTTTTTCGGGGGCCTTGACCTGTGTGTGGGAAGATATGATACCCCAGTCCCCAAAGCACGCGATTTTCAGCACATTAAAAACCTTCACAAGGATGATTTTCATAATCCTAATTTCACCCACGCCCACCGATGGTTGTCCAAGAGAGCCATGGCATGATTTGCACTGTAAAACAGATGATCCAGCTGCATGAAGTGATGGGATTATCTGAGGTTGCTGCCCATGGAGAAGGCGATCCAGAGGGTTGGGATGTTCAGATTTTCCGCTCGATTGACTTATATTCTGTCAAAGGCTTCCCAAAGGATTCAAGAGAGGCTCCAAACAGGAATATTGTATGTGGGAAGAATGTTCTAATAGACATGAGTATACATACTGCATATGTAAAGGCCATTCGGGCAGCACAACATTTCATTTACATTGAAAACCAATACTTCCTTGGTTCGTCATTCAACTGGTCTAAATATCCGGATTTGGGAGCGAACAATTTAATAGGGATGGAAATTGCCCTCAAAATTGCGTCTAAAATTATAGCAAGGGAAAGGTTATCTGCATACATTGTTATTCTTGTGTGGCCAGAGGGAGCCCCACCCAGTACTCCTACTCAAAGAATACTCTTTTCGCAGTACAACACAATGCAAATGATGTACGGGACGATCTACAAGGCTTTGCAGGAAATGAGGCTCGAAAACGAGTATGAACCGGGCGATTATTCAAATTTCTTTTGTCTCGGGAATCGCAAAACTGAAAGCTGTGCGAGCAATCCCGATCCAAAAGGCCCGGCTGGAAACACACCCCAAGCACTCACTCGAAAAACAGGCGCTTCATGATCTACGTACACTCAAAGGGAATGATAGTTGACGATGAGTTTGTTATATTAGGTTCAGCTAATATCAATCGACGATTTCTCGAAGGGACGAGGGACACCGAAATCCGCATGGGTGCATATCAGCCTCATTACACGTGGGATACAAGGCACGTTAATCCACACGAACAGATCTACGGGTACAGAATGTCTATGTGGTAGGAGCACACGGGCACGTTGGAAAAATGTGTCGAGCATCCGGAGAGTTTGGAGTGTGTGAGACGAGTGAGGTGGATCGGTGAACTCAACTGGAAACAGTTTGCGGCTATAGAGATAACCTAAATGCGGGGCCACTTATTGTAGTACCGGGTGGAGGTTGACCGAACGGGAAAGATGAGGTCTTTGCCGGGCTACCAGACTTTTCCGGACATGGGAACGAAGATAATCGGCATGGTTAGTGGCATTCAAGAGAATCTCACTATCTGATCGCTCCTCAATTTGATATTATGACTCAGAATTTTGGGATCACAACCCTTCATATCCTCAATTTTTTCTTTACTCAAATTGGATATTATGACTCAGAATTTTGGGATCACACATCTTCATATCCTCAATTTTGGGTTCATTTCCTATATGTGTTGATTGGAAACTGGTGATTACAACATTAGATACTCTTTTAGAGTGTGCTTGATGAAATATGAATAATGATCTAATTGTTAAATTAGTTGCATAAAAAAACAAGAGCAGACTCTAACTAAGAAACAAAGTTGAAATTCTAGAATCCTCAGCAGAATCGAATACTTGGCAAATGTAGGAAGATGTTAATCACATGGGACTCACATTAAACCAGATTTGGTGAAATTCTTGTAGCCGTACAGCCCAAATGATATTGATCTCCATGTCTGTCACCAACACCAGTAAAAACAGGAAGAATGAACAGAGACGATATAATATTGAACCATAGAAAAACCAGAGAACAAAGTAAAGGGCCATAGAATTCATACCTTGACCAGAAACATGGCGAGTAATGAAACGATCAATGAGTTTCTGATGCGAACAGTGAAACGATAGGTGGCGAGTAACTTCGACTTCTTCCCATATATTTGGGAAATGGTGCCTACGTCAATTTTGGGATGCAAGGCTGCTGAGCTTCCACGTTGATAGAGGCTTAATAGGAGGAAATTGATCCATAGGACCTTCTTCAAGATTTAAAATTTGTGTAAAACTGACCTTTCACCAAAATATATATATACACTAGTACAACACCCGTGTATTACACGGGTGCTTGCAAATTTTTTTCTTAAAATTTAAAATTAATGAGAAAAAAAGTAGTTTGAAAATTTAAATACCTTTTATAAGAATATATATTTAATACAAGTCTCGCACCTTGCCCTGCTGGAATTCGCCTTGAGCTTGCTTTCCTCGCCGGCTGAACGCGGAACCTGCACGAAACTCCCACACCGGAGGTGTTTTCCGGTGAAGAGCCTCCAACGCTCAAGTCAGATCTTGAGAGATGATATTAGTGTATAGAGAAATGTAAGAGTATGTAAGATCGTGCTGAAAATGAGGATTCCCGCCCCTATTTATAAGGGCGAGTTACCTGAGTTGCACGCGCAAGCCAGGTGCGTTCGGCCAATTGTCCTCTGCTCGTCCGTACGATCGCGCGCCTCCACTATCCTCAGTGTAAGAAAACGCGTCACCTTTGTTAGAGAATGTCAGAGTCGGTTAGGGCTGTTGACCACTCATAATGCGCCGCGTGTCCTCCTCCTTATGTGCTGGAGATTCCTTTGTGCTCCGATGCTCTACCAGTTATGTACGTCTGTGTCTCCTCGATCGTCCTCCCTCGACCATATCCTCAGATGACCTGTATCTGTCGACCACCTCTGCTCTCCTTAACTGTCGTTATCTGCTCGATGTTCTAGCGACCGGTGTCTGGTCCTACTCAACCATGCCATTCGATCTTATACCCACTAGATAGTCCAGCAAACCGATCGGTCTTCTTTGATTAGTCCTATAAACCGGTCCAGTATATAATATCCCATATCAATATTATTATGTATTTATTATGACACTTTTTATTTGTGCAACTTACTTGTGTTATATTATACTATTTTTTTAACTTACACTATATAACTACACTACATATAAATATATCAATTTTAAGATAATTTTATTTTTCTAATGAATTTTAATAAATATTATTATTTTTATTATTATAAAGATAAATATAAGTTATTTATTTCATATATACAATATGGATGTCAAATCGAAGATTATCAAAAGATGATTAATTTGATATATTATATATGTAAAACCGATAAGAAATACAAAAGTTATCAACTTTTAAAATACATTTATAATTCAATAGCTTATTAAAGGAAACAAATTAAAATTCAAGGATATATTAGTCACTTAGTGCCTCACTATGTAAAATTACAAAGAATTAAAGGGTTATATTAGTAAAAGTGATATTAAAACACCTAAGTTAGCTAAATAATATTTATGGAATACCCGAACCTAGATTATTAATTATTAATATATCAATATTATTTATCCAAACCTAATTACAAAGTATGATATTTCGCCAAATAGGATTCCGAAGCACCAGAAACAGCCACGTAGGTTCAGCGCATTCGAGAATTATATATAGGGGTGATATTATATATATATATATATATATATATATATATATATAGTCGCGCTCCGGTGAGAATGGTACTCCAAGAAAGAAATAAAAATAAATTTTAGCCATTAGATCACAAAATCCAATGGCTTATAAAAGTACTAAAAATATACCATCAATAAGGGTATGACAGTAATTTGCACATACAATCAAACAAATGGCTCACTCCCCCATTAAATATATGTCTCCCAACAACGCCACCCAACAATACATTCACCCAACTACCCCACCCACCCCACCTTACTTATCTCTTTCTCACTCTTAACCTTCTCTCCCAACACACTCTCTCTCTAAATTGCTCTCTTACATATGCACAGAGACCGTCATCTTCAACTTCCTTTCGTCGCCTCGGGCGGCATCGCCGTGTCGTCCTACAGTCCGGCCTTTCATCTGCCGCCGACGTCGAGTCCTATGTCGTCGATGTAAACTGGAAAACCGTCAGCCTCACCATATTCCCAGAATCCCGTCGTCTGTCATATCTTTTTACTCCTCCGACTAGCCGTCTTCCAGCCGCACCGCCGATGCTCGCAGCCATCGCATACAATCGGAGCCCAACACCGACGCCCTGAAAAAACTGAAGCTCCAGTCGGAGAACTCACGCCACACTTACCTTCGACCACCCCGCACAAAGTTGCCGCGACCGTCGGAGCTCTCCACCGACACTAGCAGCAGCCGAATACAGTGCCATACGATCGGAGCACGACGCCAACGTCCTCAAAAAACTGAAGCTTCGATCTAAAAACTCACGTCCGAACGGCGGTCGACAATCCCACCGGAAAACACACACATGCACACAACGACCGGCGACCTGAAACGTTGGGACTTGTTTGACCGTGAGAAAAATTGAGGGAGGCAAACTCGCTGGAATGACCTGAAACTCAATTTAGGGATTGGGTCTTCTTTTTTGAAAATTTGATAATGTGTAAGGCTCAATGGCAATTCCAAAAAATTAATTATATTTCAATTTTGCCCTAGGTTGAATATGAAATTATATAAATTTATTAAAAAATATTATTTTTATATATTTTTATTACATATATATTAAATAATTAACAAAAATAAAAATAATAATAATTATATGACAAATCGCACATTAGTGTCTGAAGTACTGTACGTTAGTGTTAAACATATTGCACATTAATATGTGTCAGATCGCGTCATAGCGATAAAATTTGAAATAACTATTGTTTGAATTTATATATTTTTTTATTATTTTAAAACTTAAGTTATTTTGATATTGGTAATTTCAACTGAAATAAAGTTATTTCGATAATTTTAAATTTACATTTTTTATCATCTCGTTGAAAAAGTTGAGCTATATGAAAATTATTATTATTTATATATTTTTATATATTGCTATTGCATATTATAATTATATAGATTGCACATTAATGACTATATGATTGCACAATAATAGAAACCAACCGACTAAAATTGTCGGTTTGAAATTTTATACTTCGGATAAATTACTAATTTTATTATTTTTTAACTTCTAAAAACTCAGTAATGCACTTTACAAATCATCATGTTGCACTTTATAAAATAACACGTTACACTTTATAGAATATCAGGATGCACTTTATCACGATCCTCGACAATTTGCGTCGATAACTCCAACAAAAACACCGCACAACATTAATTTTTATTTTTTTTAAAAAAAAAAACAAAAAACTCGATTATGACAGTCCGATTTAAGTTTTTTTTTTTTACTTAAAATTTGTATTTTTTATTATATATCTCGATCAGAATTTAAAAGACGAGCGATATGAAAAATATTATTATCATGATTTATATGTTTTTATGTATTGCGATTGCACATTATAATTATATGGATTGCACATTAATGACTATATCATTGCACAATATTAAAAATCAACCAACTATTACTTTTATTATTTTTCTACTTTAAAAAAATTAATAATGCACTTTATAAATCAGCACGTTGCACTTTATAAAAGGACACGTTGCACTTTATGAAATACCATGATGCACTTTATCACGATACTCAACAATATGCGTCGATAACTCCCGCCAAAATACCACACAACATAAATTTTTATTTTTATTTAAAATAAAGAACTCGATTATGTCAGTCCGCCTAAAGTTTACTTATTTTTTACATACCGAACAACCGAGCAATGTAAAGAAATATCATTATTTCTATTACTATATTTTTTATGTAAAAAAAAATATTTATTTCAACTACAAAAATAAAAAAATATTAAATATTATAAAAAACATATTAAAATATTAATTTAAGTTTGTAAGTATTAATTACAAATTTACCATTGAACAAAATTGTAATATATCAACTTATTGAAATTGTACATAAGCTTCTAAAATCTATCAGATTTACCAAAAAAGACCCCTCAACCTAAATTAGATCTTTAAACCTAAGAGAGAGAAAAAAAACCCGAAATTGCATATGATAAATTGACTGATGTAGACGACGGAAGAGAAGAAGTCTTCACAAATTTGCATCTGATAAATTGACTGATGTGGACGTCGGAAGAGAAGAAGAAGCTAACGGCTGTAGAGAGGGCGTGCGACGACGGATGGCGAAATTTGTGGCGGAGGCGGGTATGCGAGCGGACAGACTACCAGAGGAGGTGGCGGATGGGGTGAAGTTGTTGGTTGTTACGGGATGTGGTTCCGGCAGGTTCAGTGACGACGGAGGAGAAAATTGCGACAGAGGCGGTGCTGTGGACGGAGGGATTGTCGGGGCAGGTGGCCGATTGTGATAGTTTGTGATTCCGACGGGTTCATTAACGGCGGCGGTGGTCTTCTAAGATTTCGGGCGGCGGCGAGAGGCGTGCCAGTGGTCCGGCGAGGGGTGGTGGTCCGTCGGTGACGACAGAGGTGATGTGTGTGTGTGTGTGTGACTGAGTATGTGTATGGTGTGTGTTTGTGCACGTGGTGTGAGAAAAAGAACCATGAAGGGTGGTTGTTGTGGGTGGGTTGGGGGCCCGTAGGTATGGGTGAGATTGTAATGTATAATGACTAGTTTATCCTTATTTAATAGTCAAATGTATCATTTGACTACTATATGTATATTTATTTACTATATTGCTATTAATGATTGACTATTATTTATT